TCCTCCCCTCTCTTTTTTTCTCCCTCATTTCGCTCTCCCCGAGTAGGGTAGCAAATTGGACTTAGCCTATAGTTAACCTACCCACCTTTCCGATATTCTTTTTTTTCTTCCTGCTCTGATTAGAAGTATATTGTTTAGATGTTCGTTCGTCTCAGTGGTCATGTGTTTCTGCCTTCCTGTGCCAATGCTAAACTGCGTCGTATCAGCTTGTGACGCAGAGCGCATTTTGAGGACGTCTGCTGTACATCGCCCGATAATTTCAACGTGACCCTTGCTTGTCACCCGCTTTCTCATTTAAAGATAAGAGCTACCCTCTATTCCTCGTGACGCAATGCACTACTACAACCCGGGGTGTTTTTGTGTATATTAAGCGTATGTTAATCTACAAGACTCTTTTGTGAACGAAGCGGCGTGCCTAGAGAACCAATTCGACCGATTAGCCTATTTGTATCTTTTGCATTTCAGCAGGATTCCTGAGAGCCGATTATTCAGTTGCGGTAGCTCTTTTTTTTTTGCTGTGACGCACTCAAAACACGCACAGTGGTGTTTTGAAACAAATGCCGACTCCCGGAGCTCAGCACTTTTCGTGCCACGCAGTCAGCCATGGCTGAATAGTGCTATATTTGCCATCTGGAATATGGGTAGGTTTCCATGTCCTTCACCAGCCAATCGATATTATTAGATGAAATATGAATTGAGCTACCAATCTTAAGTAATTTTGAGCCACTTTGGTGGGCTACAAAAGCAGAAGTGCGGCACACACTGCTGTTTTCGTTGGATTCGGGTATGCAGCAGCCGAAACGACAGCACAAAAAAAAAACATTTCAGCATATCTACAGAGTGAATCATGACGGGTGGAGTGAAGCATCCACCCGTTCGTTCTTGCTTCTATTCGTCCGTGCGTCCATTCATCCATCCATCAGTCCTTCCATGAATCCGTGCGTCCGTCGGTGTGTTCATTCATCTGTCCGTCCCTGCGCCCGTCCGTCCGTCCGTCCGTCTGTGTGTTCGACCGCCCGTCCGTGCATCAAACAGACAGAAAACAGACGATAGACGGACATGGCCAGCGGATGATTAACGATTTTCCTATGAATCCCTCCCAAGCTTCGCCCCACTCATCATCATTAACTCCGTGAATATGTTGTGACGTAGTTACTACATACATGTATACACACAGGTAACCACCGACTCACACCTTAAGGAGCTTTGCTCCTAAAAGTCTCATTAGAGACATTAGGTTCGTACCCATTTACACTAAGCCTCCGCGTCATTGGAAAGGTCATTGTGTTCGTACCCATTTACACTAAGCGTCCGCGTCATTAGAAAGGTCATTGTGTCTGCGTGGTTACTCAAAAAGCACATGAAGCAACGACGTAACATGAAAGAGACAACACAGTTCTGATATAATATATTGCCTGTTTAGTTTATTGAACTTTTTTTACCACATACGAGACTTTGCAAATGGTGGTGCTCGCAACACACGCGGTAATACATTTTACCAATCGATAAGAGAGAAAGGGAGCGGTATAATCACATAAAGGTCGAGAGGTCAGCCTGAGCGATAGTATACCCATGACAAAGCTAGGAGGCATGACCTGCAGGTCCCAACGTGGCTGTAGCCAGCCAGCTGGCAACACCCTGTACAGGACCTCAAGTTCTGTCCGTCTATTGCCTGTCACTGTGGTCTGTTCGCTAAGTTTCGTAATATCTGCTTTAGTGCCCTCAGCTTGTTTATTGAATTTACATCCTAAATCTGGTTTTCAAACATGAAATCGCACCAAATATGCGTAAAGGGAAGAGCTTACTCGCCACATTTATATTTTTCTCACGTATGCACATGTTTTAACATTATATATATATATATATATATATATATATATATATATATATATATATATATATATATATATATATATAGCTGCCCGCTCTTAATAGGTTCACGTGCTACGTAATGCCAAACAGGCTCAAAAAAGAGTAGTGTGCCTCAGTCGCCGCCATGACTACTGGTGGCGCTGACTGACACTCCCACGTTTAAATTCACATATAAACCCAATAAAGTGGATGGGGGGATAGCTGCTGTGGTATCTTAGTGTTAGAGCATCGAACACGTCATTAGAAGGTCGCAGGATCGGATCCTGCCCATGGCAAGTTAACTTTTCACCCACGTTTCTTTCTTCATATTTACCTTACAATTCGGTCTATTATCTTCCACTATATTTTCCGTGGCATTATTGTCAGTTAGATCTCATTATTACTGCGTAAAAACACGCAAAAACGAGCCCATAAGTATACACTTCTTTTCTTAATATATATATATATATATATATATATATATATATATATATATATATATATATCTTGCGACGAAGTCCTTTATTAGGCTTGGAAGACGTGGTCAAAAACAGACCTCCTAGGCACAGAACCGACTCAAAAGCCTTATCCGCTAACCATAAAGAACACTGGGTAATGATGGTTTTAACTATTTTTGTTTTGTTTTGTTCTTACGTAGCACACTGTGTCAGCCTTTTTAGATGCGCAGCAGATCTTTGACTAGTCTGAGTAGCGCTGTCCCTCCATCCACACTGCTCCCCTCGCCGCAGGTGTTGGAGCTGTGCCAAGTAGCTCACGACCTCCCAGCAGTGAGCGGTGACGTCTCTCTCCCCCGCTTGCCGTGCGCTCACCGCGTGTCAGCTTTTTCTTGCTGCACCCTCTTCACCGCTCGCAACGCTCGAGCCCACTCCTCACTTGGACATCATTTCCTCCACACTACCTCTCTCCATCTGTCGGCGAGAAAAAGCAGCGCGCACCTGCGGCGTTGAGATTGTGGTTATAAAAAGGAAAAGAAGAGAAAAGTGAGCCCCGTAATTGTCTGCATCTGGTGCGACACATCAACAGTAGTTCACAAGGAAAGGGGTAAGGAGACATTAAAAGGATAGGTTCAAAGGTAGAGAGAGAGAGAGAGATGCGCAAGGACAGCGAGCGACGGCAGAAGAGATAGGAAGGATGAAACACGATCGCAGGAGTCCGAGGACGGCGCACCACTTGCGAGTGCTCTTGTCGGCGACGGATGGCATAGGGCTAATCCAGTCGACCAGAGCTGTGCTAGAGTCTAGTACCCTCTACCACAGCTGTGCTGTCGTCGGAGATCGCGAGGGCACAACCGGTCGCCACGGAATCCAGCCAGATGTGCGCGGCGTTGACTATGTGGACAGCGTGCCGCTGCCTGATAGTGCGATCACGCCGATGAGCGGAACGCCATCGAAGCATGCTTCCCGCTAGTGTGCGTGTATTTTTCCTTACTGTCGCCGGCATTGCGAAGGTGAGCGAAGCCGATCGCGTACGCGAGTGGCAACGTAAACACTGACGAGGCGCGAGGCAGAGAAGCTGAACGCAAGCGTCGGCAGTGGAAGACGCTCATGATGCGCTCGCGTCCGTTTCGCTAGCTTCACATATACCAAATTACATGTTACGTGCCTTCGAAGGATGGCGAAGGTACATGAATGGTGCAAACACGATAATCATGACCTGAATGTCATGTAAGAACATGACAACATACCACACTCATGATGCGTTCGCGGCTCTTTCGCTAGCTTCACATATACCAAATTTGGTATCACGTGACGTGAATAGACGAAGAAGGATGACACGTCTTAACATGATAATCTTGATATGCGTGTCAGGTAAAACATGACTACATGCTAAGCTCACAGCGCGTTCGCGGCCGTTTCGCTAGATCCACATATCCCAAATTCGGTATCACGTGGCGTGAATAGACGACGAAGGTAGATGACACGTCCAAACATTATAATTATGACATGCGTGTGATTTAAAACATGACCACATGCTACGCTCATAGTGTGCTCACGGCCGTCTCGCTAGATTCATATATCACGTCACGTGATACTAAATTTGGTATCACGTGACGTGAATAGACGACGAAGATGAATGACACATCCAAACGTGATATGCATGACATGGAATTCATGTACGACACAATTTACGTGCACATCGTAACGTTGCTGATTTTAAAGTGTCATATCAGCCTTCCTTATTCGTGCTTCGCATATCATCCATTCCCACAGTACGTGGGATCTGTCAATTTTTTGTGAACAGACAGCACTGTTTCCCGCTATTTGTTCTTTACCACGATGATTTTTTTTTCTAAACACACACAGACAGACCAAATCTCTTGCGTTGAAATATCGCAAGAAAGGCTATCGTCTTTGAAAAGACACAAATAGCTCCTGTTCCACCATTATGTGTTTGAAAACCACTGAAATTATTGCTAGCAACAGGTGCCATTGCTGGCTCTTGCACTCCAGTTTCCCTGTCATCACAAGACCTTTCGTGAAGCACCATCACTAAAAGAGAATGGTGGCTGATTTAAGAATGACTTTGTAGAGTCCAGGTGAAAATTTTATGGGTCGAGGGATCTGGGTATATGTTGACTGATAATGGTCTTATTTACTAAACCAAGCACAGTAATTGGCTGATATTGTGAGGAGGAGGCACAGGCGAATATATTACGTAGCACATCATGGTGTGTGTTTCCCTTCTGTGTTCTCGTGTAACATGCATTCTTCTTGAAATCATATGTAGCGTAAGGTAAGTTGAATAATTTTCGTTCCATTGACCATTTCTCTAACGTAGCACACAGTCTCGTATTCGAACTACTAGCCACTGCTGCACCATGCGCAAGCAGCATATCCGATAAATCATGGCCCTTATCAAATAATTCCTAAGAATTGAATAAGCTCGAAAGACAACTTTCCATATACTTTAACACCACAAAACTGTTCCAATGCTAGTACTTACGAAAAGGTAACGTAACACCAATTTCGAAATATCTGTAAGAAAATTGTCACGATTCGCATTAACGACTGTCACTTATGGGGAATATCACCCTTATATAAAAAAACGAGTGCTTGATGTGTTTTTTCTGTTCTCGTTTGATGCACCGCGCTCATTTCACCATTGCATCAATGCCGATCTTGCTTCAGAGATCCTGGACCGCGTGAAGATGGGCACAACCCCACCGTTTCGTCCCGAGGTTTCGCCCGACGAGTGCCCCGCCGACATGCTGCGCCTCATGCGCGTTTGCTGGGCCGAAGCACCAACAGACAGGCCCACCATCTCCGAGGTCAGGCACGCCGTCAAGAAGATCACGAAGTGAGCTTCCCATTCATTTATGTCGAAACTTCTAAGATTACGACTAATCGTTGATGGCTAGCCAAGTAGCAGCCACACAAAGTGGAAATCTGAGACAATCTGCCACACAGACGAACGATTATGTCTGGAATGATGGGCGTGAATGCGGCATGTTGCTTCGAAGCAAATGCGCTAGAACTACAACTTTTCAGCTTCGAAAATGTCCCGCGGGCTGCCGATTCATTGGAATGATATGTAATGCTCGCAAAAGTGGAATGTAAGACAACAGATAACGAGGCCGCCCGTGCGCCAGATGGTTACGGCCTGACCACGCATACGCGTTAAAGGGGTCGTGAAACGCTCGCTCCAAAGCGACAACGCGAAGCCACCGGCGTCTACACGCACTAAGTATGTGACGTCATCATAAGTAATGATTTGCCTATCGAGCAATGCGGAACTCTTCGGTACTTGCGAGTGCGTGCAACCGGGCCACCCATCAACGTCTTTGCCATACGCAATCGGCACTGCCTGGAACTCTGACGTCATATTAAGCAGCGTTCTTGTGGGACGCGGATCGCGTATGGCAGACGCAGATGAGCGCCTCTTCCACGCGCTCGATATGCCATATATAGTTCCGCGTTCCTCGATAGGCAAAGTGTCTATGCAGGTCCACTCGGGCTGATGGTATAGTTAGCGCATGTGGCTGCCGATGGTGTCGTATTGTCGTCGTAAAGCGACCGTTTCACGGCCCCTTTAAGGCGTGTCAGCACGTGGCATTTTCACACAATGCCACGCCCTCTCCCTTTGAAAAAAGAGGGCGCACAGGTTTGCGCAGCCGTGGGCACTCACCCTCCACAAAGAGAAGGTGCGGTGCATCATCAAAACGCCACGTGCTGAGGCATCGCAGTCGGCACTCGTGGTCAGGCTTTTACATGCAGTCTTCAGAAAACAGGGGAGCGCACACAAGTTCAAAAAGTTTGTGCTAATTACATCGAAGGGGTGTTTATATAACTACGGTATCATCGGTATTCGATGGCAACTCGATTGCCTTGATGGAGAATAGCAGGAGCATCTGTGCGACTGCGACCACAACAATGGCTCTGTTCTGTATTCGCTCTAGACGGCATAATGAACATCAGCTATCTTGAATGTCGTTCCTGTCCTCATGTAGTACACAAAATATACAGCTTCGCAAAGACCGCGTCAGACACAAACATGACGCAAAGTACTTTGCTGTCGATATTAGGCGGCAGCAGTACGCAATCACTTTCCTGCCATAATTGAGAGAGAAAATGCTCGGTCTCACCATATTTATTTATTTATTTATTTATTATTTATTTATTTATTTATTTATTTATTTACCACCGCGGTCAGCAGACATTACAGAGAGTAGTGGTAAAATGCAATAACAAAACAAGTTTGCAATTACAAGAGACAATATAATGCTGCTGGTTATAAAACAACACTTATAAACAGAAAAAAAAAAGAAATAGGAAATATCCAAAATGGCGTACAAGAAAATATCAATATGCATACTTTAAGAAAGATAAAAATAACGTCTTTAGTATACAATAGGTGTTGTTACACTTCAATGGAACAGGTACAACAGATACGAAAAAGTAGCAGTAAAATCTTATTTATATATATGTATAAGATGAAAACTACTACCAGGTATTTGAAGAATTCGTTACTACCATCCCAAATGCGTCACGATCTGAAATTGTTACGAACGATTCGGGAAGGCATTTCAAACCACATGACGTGCATGGTACGTATGATTGTCGAAATGACTCAGTTTGAGACGATAAGATGCCAACCTTATGAGCATGATTTAAACGACGAGAAAGTAAGGTGGCGGAAGGATTAGCAAATCGAGTAAGTATGAGTTGTGATAAATTTTATGAAAAAGGGTTAAGCAGAGCCTAGTACGACGAGAATAAAGTGAAGGTAATTTAAGGTTCGATTTCATGAGTGTGATGCCCATGTTTCGAGCACACAGTCGTTTCCCCAGAAATGGAAGCTTGCTAACAAGCTTAGCTTAAGCTACGTTTAATTTTCAAGAATGGCAATACAGAAAAAGAAAAAAAGTGGCTGATCCCACGTACAGCGGGAATCGATGATATGCGAAGCACGAGTGACAAATGTTGATATGTCCCTTTAAAATCAGCACAACGTTACAAGGCGGACGTAAAGTATGCCGTACATGAATTTCATCTCAATATTATCATGTAAGGATGTGTCATTTACCATCGTCAAATATTCACGTCAACTGATAACAAATTTGGTACATGTGGAGGAAGCGAAAAGGCCAGGAACGTGCTGTGAGCGTAGCATGTATCCATGTTTTACATCAGACGCGTGTCATGATTGTAACGTTCGAACATGTCTTCCATTGACACCTTCGTCTTCCATTGACATCACGTAATACCAAATTTGGTATATGTGAAGCTCCCGAAACAGCCGCGAGCGCGTCATGAGCGTGGTAGGTTATGATCTACCTGACATACATGCCATTATTGTCATGTTTGCACCAGTCATATACCTTCTTCATTAATTGACGTCCTTTAACCCCAGAATTGGTATATGTGAAGCCAGAGAAACGACCGTGAGCGCACTACGAGCGTATACTATAGCATGTAGTCATGTTTTACATGACACGTTATCATCATCGTGTTAACGGCGTGTCATTTACCTTCGCCGCCCGTTTGCGCCACGTAATACCAAGTTTGGTATATGCGAAGCTAGCAAAGAGCGTGGCATGTAGTCATGTTGTTACATGACACGAATGTCATGATTATCGTGTTTGGGAGCGTCCTTTACCTTCGTCGCCCGTTCGCGTCACCTAACACCAAATTTGGTATATGTGAAGCTAGCGAAACAGCTGCAAGTGCATCATGAGCGTGGCATGTAGTCATGTTGTTCCAGGACAAGCGTCTCATGATTGTCATATCTGCATCAGTCACATACCTTCATGGATTCACGTCCCGTATATACAAATTTTGTATAAGTGAAGCAAGTGAAACGGCAACGAGAGCATCATAAACATGGCATGCAGTCATGTTGTTATATCACACGCATCTCCATTCGCACCAATCACATACCTTCGTCTTCCTCTTAAGTACCTTAATACCAAATTTGGTATATGTGAAGCTCGCGAAACGGCCACGAGGACATCATGAGTGTGGCATGTAGTCATGAATTACATGACATGCATGTCATGATTTCTACGTTAGGTCTGTCACTTGTGTTTGTCATGCAGTCATGTCATACTATACCTGTTTTGCAACATGTCGTGTGAACGAAACCACCGCAAGAGCAGCAAGACCATGAAATGTAGATCATGACATTTATGTCATATATGTCATGGTTTTCATGTTATGACTTGTCACTTATGCTTTTCATGCAGTCATGTTACGCCATATCAATTTTAGTATCGTGACCATTATCGAAATGGCCAGGAAAGCTAGAAGTCATAGGGGGCTAGACAGACAGACAGACAGACAGACAGACAGACAGACAGACAGACAGACAGACAGACAGACAGACAGACAGACAGATAGATAGATAGATAGACAGATAGATAGATAGATAGATAGATAGATAGATAGATAGATAGATAGATAGATAGATAGATAGATAGATAGATAGATAGATAGATAGATAGATAGATAGATAGATAGATAGATAGATAGATAGATAGATAGATAGATAGATAGATAGATAGATAGATAGATAGATAGATAGATAGATAGATAGATAGATAGATAGATAGATAGATACTCTCAAAGTCATCAAAGTTTGCTAAAAAATGCTTCACATTTAAAAATATAACAAGCATGTTTGCTTTATTTTTCTCTTCTGTGGGCGCTGATTCACGTCATGGCGCACAGACATCATGCAGAAGCATAATCCTAGACGGGCGACTAGGGCTCCATAAGCCGTCTTCTAAGCTGTCAGCTTAGGCTGTCTACGATGCTGGCTAGAATCAGAACACACACCCACACACCAAAGGAACTCAAGCATCAAATCCTCTTATAACAGCACTTCATTTCACCATGAAAATCATGGATCGTCACCGTCAGCTTCGGGATTCAAGGGGCCCATGATGTCACGGGCAGGTATTACCTGCCGCCTGTTCCAACATGGCAGCAGCCCACTGGGCAAATGGGTAACACCTGGAACTCCTCCCTTGGTGATCTATCTATCTATCTATCTATCTATCTATCTATCTATCTATCTATCTATCTATCTATCTATCTATCTATCTATCTATCTATCTATCTGTGTCTCTGTCTGTCTGTCTGTCTGTCTGTCTGTCTGTCTGTCTGTCTGTCTGTCTGCCTGCCTGTCTGTTTTTTACTTAGCCGCCACAGCCTCTTCATCTAGTCGCCGTTGTGGACGTCCCTCGAGCCGGCAACGACGTCTACGGTCAGCATTCGTACCAAAAACTTAAACGGCAGCCCTACGCACATTTTCGTTATATCACAACCGTTTGGTTAAAGGACTAAATGGAAATGTGATTTGTTACATGCAGCATTCTGCATAACACAGGTTGTAAAAAAGCGATTTGGTTTAGCCGCAGAATTCTGCAAAATAGCTTGAACTAGCATGGGGGTTCTTCCGCGTGATTCATGCTCAGTTTGTCATTATCAGTATAGCAGGCAATATACAGTGAGAGAAAACTCGTATGGGATGGTATGAAGCCTTTGTGTTCCGTACATGCTGTAAATAAGCTTTTTCTAAACATGGGACGGCTAGATGCTCTTCCATAGTAGAGTGCCTAGTACTCTGAATCGTTAACCACTTTTTCTAAACGCTATGGTTTTTCTAGTAAGCTTTTAGGGCTTATCGCCACCACCGGGAATATCGGGGACGGCTTTAAGCTCTCCCATAGTAGAGTACCAAGTGCTCTAAATCGTTAGCCAATTTTTCTAAACACACAATGACTGAATATTCGTGCCGTCGATGGAGCACTTTAGCGGGACGGCTCAGTGCTCTCCCATAGTTGAGTACGAAGTACT